TCCCGCTGTCCTACTATTTACCCATAACTTCTTGAAGAAGAGGATTAATACCTTTCGTAAGGGTATTAACGCGTAAATGAATATAATGGATCCGATTTCGATCCCTTAATCCAAGCGGCTATCCATTAATCCACCGTGCCTTCTTGAAGGTATGTCATGAACAAATTTGAAAATATACTCACGATTTTTCCCTTTAGGTCGAACGCTAAGTCACTCAACAAATACTTATTTTCCTAACAACACATTTTAGCACGCTGGATTTTTTTATTAATGAGTCTGTCTTCTCTGTTGAAGGAAATAATAATATTTAATTTCTCCTCCAAACTGGAACATGTTTCACATGCTTGTAAGTATTTTGGAGAAATTTTCCATTCTATAATGGGGTATTTATTAATCTGTTTATATCGCATATATCCCATATATATTTAGACAGCGTTGTGCTTTTTGCTTCGCATCACAAGTGGAACGACGTTTTATGGTTGTAACATCTCTGGTGGATCCTAAGTATAAGACACACTCACAGAAACACACACACGCACACACACGCACACGCACACACACACAGACATACATATATATATATATATATATATATATCGAATGGAGTAAACAGTAAAATATACAGTAAAATAAACAGTAAATTATTTCAAGCAAAGTAAGTTATTAGGCTGCTCACCCACGCGCGCACACACACAAACATACACATTCAAATCTCTTAAAAATGCATAATCTATTGCATGGGTCTTTCCAAAATTTTGTTCAAAATCAAATAGAGATGTCGCAGAAGGGCCGCTTGTTCGTATTGAATTCAGATTTTGCCTTTTCCAGACAGATGGCTAACAAATACTAGAAATTCCAGTCCCCTGCTATTTAATTAATCCATAGCTGGGGGATAAGAAGAGACGAACTCCTACCTTGCCAAACATGATCGCACTTTCCCTTACGAACGTTGTTGCGTACGTCAGTGGGAGACTTTATATATATATATATATATATATATATATATATATATATATATGTGTGTGTGTGTGTGTGTGTGTGTATTTAGGCAGCACTCCTTCTTTTATGGACATTTCATTGAATATGACAGAGAAGGTGCTTTGGTTTATTTTTTTTATACAATTTCTCATGCGATCTAATATTCCTTTTGTCTTTTCGGATGATAAATTATATAAAAACTGTGCGAATATTCTTTTTATCCGAGCGCTTTCGGCTATACATTTACCCATTTTCAAGGATATATATATATATATATATATATATATATATATATATATATATATATTTTTTTTTTTTTTTTTTTTTTTCTACATACAACGTGTGAAAAGTACGTGCGATGCCCTGCCCTCGTCAGACACCAACCAGGGGACATAACATAGTTTCGGTGGCTAAGGTGATCCTGCCAACCCTGGCAACACCAGTAGCCTTTGCCACCGGACAGGCTATTGATTTTTTTATGTTGACGTGTCAGTCTCTTGCGATTTTTTTACAACTGCAAGTCAAATTTTCACCGTTGTGTTAAAAGCGTTTGATTTGATCGTTGACCAATACACAATGCGCTCATAGAGGCCGTTATCAATGACGTAGTTTGGAAAGTAAACAGATGTGTTTCATGTCGAAAGTAGAATCGTTCAACGCTATAAAAAATTCCAGTAAGATATCTTTAATAATTTTTAAGATACACCGGTTCAAAGCTTAATCTAGCAATTGGGCAATGTTGCTGTTACACCCGATACATACATATACACACACACACACACACACACTCTCTCTCTCTCTCTCTCTCGCACACACACGCACACACACACAGATATATATATATATATATATATATATATATATATATATATATATATATATATATATATATATATATATATATGCTATGTTCGCTACCTGAGACTTTCAGAATTTGACAAATATTATGCCATTATTGTGGATGGACGTAAATTTATAGCACAATGCACGAGAGTCTCTCAAGGCAGAGCTTCACTGAATAAGTTGTGTGATATGAATATGAAAAGAATTGGTAGGGAGTAACTTTAGGTACCATTGATAATGACTGACCCTTGACATGAAGTGTTTAAGAACGTAGTTTCCAGGAAAATCCCCCCCCCCTTGGACTGGAGAATGTTTCAAATGTAGCAGATCTATAGGGAATATATGAATGGAATATTTTACTTACAATTCGAATACAGGGGAAATGAAGATGATTTGACTATGTGGATGTAGCATGTTGTGTCCTCAATATAATGGACTAAACTAGTGGAACTAAAGAATGAAACACTCTTTTGAACATTTGTCATAGAAATAGTGTTAGAATAGGGTGAAGGCTAAGTTTTCTCTTAGAATTCTGTATTTTGCAATTAGCATTAAGTTTTTGCTTTGGTTCTCAGGAGGGTATGCATGTCTACATATTCTTATTTCCGATTGGAATTGGAACTGTCTGATTCCAAATTTGAGCTATTATCTATTACACCAGCTGAACATCCAAACTTAA